CTCTATGTGGTGTCTCCATTTACTTAACTTTGTCTGTCACTGGTATCTTCTTGCCCAGGAAGCAAGGTTCAATATACGTAGAAATTTTTGTTTTTCTTGTGAAAAGACAGATTTCCGCTTTTGCCGGGTTAACATTGAGGCCTCTCGGTTGAGCCCAGCTCAAGGCCGTATTCAGATCCTCCTCAGCTCTTCTACACAAGTAATTTGGATCCTTTCCCTTTAAAAGTATTACGACATTGTCTGCATAGCAGACAGGTCTAAGTCCTTTCTCGGTTAGAGTCCTTAGGAGGCTATTAATCGTGGTAACCCACAGTAAAGGTGACAAAATGCCACCCTGTGGTATACCGCGGAATACCTTTTTCCTGATAGTTATATCGTACATCTCGCAGCTTATCCATCTGTTCCTTAGCATGTGGTTGATCCAGTTACGGAGCACCCGGTCAACATAAAACTGGTCTAGGGATTGGATAAGAGTATCAGTGTGCACGTTATTGAAGGCGCCTTCGATGTCAATGCATACTGCCAGTGTATACAGTTTGCTATCAAAGGATGCACCTATGTGGACAACTTCGTTTAAAGCGGTTTCCACCGATCGTCCCTTTACATAAGCATGCTGCTTCTATTTAAGGTCTTTGTCTGGTATACAGCTTTTAACCATACTATCAACTATCCGTTCCAAGGTTTTAAGAAGGAAGGACGTAAGACTTATCGGTCGATAGGACTTAGGTGTCGCATAGCTAGGTTTTCCTGGTTTGGGTATAAATACCCCAGTGCCATTTAACTGGGGTATATGTTAATTTCAAGCATGCAGTGAATATTTGTGACAGATGTACGGAAACCAGTTCCGCCTCCATCTGCAAAAGTGCCGGGAAAATACCATCCAACCCTGCAGCTTTCCAAGGTTCCGGATCTCCCCGGTTACCCAGGGTTTCTCCTGGGCAGATCTCCGCTCTCGCAGAGGACAGCTGTCCTCGAACGATTCAACAAGGGCATTTGTGAACGTTTCTACTTTGGAGTCCATATCCTCCTTATTTCGACATTGAAAAGTGTCCTGACATAAACGGTTCTTTAGTAAGGTCACGAACATTGTCCAATTAGTTTTAGACTTATTCCGAAACTTTATCGGCTTTGGTGGTGGTCTTAGTATTTTGAATCTTATGTATCGATGGTCAGAAAAGGAGTGCTCGTCCGAACTCTCCAATCCTGAATTTCGGTTATAAGCTCTTCTGAACATAAAGTTATATCTAATACTTCTTCTCTGATTCTATTGACAAAGGTAGCTTTATTAACTAAGTTCAATGTGATCAAGTCCTTAGTATTAAGGAAATCCGTAAGGGCTTGTCCCCTGCGATTGGTGTTTGTACTACCCCAAGCTACATGGTGGGAATTTGCATCACAACCTATTACAATTTTCTTATTTTTCCTTTGTGCCTCTTCAACCAGTTTCATCAGATCCGACGTTGGTGGTAGTGTCGGAGAATCGAAGTGCTTAAGTACGGTTGCATCGATGTGGATAATCCTGTTGAGAGGAGGAAACATAAGTTCTTGTGACATAAGATACATGTTCTCGGGCGAGACCCTGTATCAGCGTAAAAAAGTTGGAAATTTACGTGATTTAATCCAGAAACCTTGTTGCGAATCGTCCAAGGTTCCTGGATTAAAGCTATATGTATTTTACCCGTGTTAATTTTAGCCATCTGAGCGTTGGTAGTCGTCTCGCTCCGATGGAGGTTTATTTGGATAACCTCAATCATGGTCATCCATTAAACTGTCTTCCAGCGAGTTAGTTTTCACCTCCTCGCTCTTTGGACTTGACTCCTCCTGGTAGACAGAAGTGGCTATTGATGCAGTGGGTACTATTGGCATTGGAATATGAGACTGTTTAATCGACACGTTCCCAATTTCCTCGATTTTAGGATTTGGCTCCTCAACATTACCAGTACTTGCTAATGATGCTTTGGGTACAGTCGTAAGTGTTTTAGTGTCCTTGTCGGGCCGGTTTTTACAGCCCTTTCAATCGGCGCCTTCCCAATTTTGGAAAGGGCAGCTGCACTTTCTTCTGGCGAGTTAGTGGTAACTTCCTCGATTTTAGGATTTGACTCCTCAACCTTATCAGTAGTGGCTACTGATGGTGTGTTCTTAGGTTTTTTAGTGTCCTTTTCGGGGCTTGTTGTAACAGCCCTTCCAATTGGCACCTTCCCAATTTTGAATATGACAGATTTAGAGGCGAAGTAAGCCCTACCTTTATTCTTGGCAAGACTAGCCATGGAATTATTGTCGATACCTATTACAAATAAAGTTCCCTCATGTTCTTCTTTAAGCAGCATAAGACAAGCTTTGTTGGCTATTATAGCTGCTGAATGGCAAATACATTTCACCGTTATTATGCTTTCGTTGTCTTTCAAAAGTCTTGAGGTGAATGAATTGTTGCGGCCTACCATTACGTGAGCACCATCGCAACAAAGTCCAATAATGTTTTCGAAGGGAATATTGTTTTTAATATGCATTCTTTAAATTTGCTATAAATGGCTTCAGCGGTGCAATCAATAACCACAGGAATTAAGTCCAATAATTTTACAAACGTTTTTTCCTCTTCATCGTCAAAGTAGCGAACCAAAACACACATAGATTTTTTTAAAGCAACATCAGTACTTTCGTCGATAAGAACAGAGAATTTGTTTGTTTTAAGATTAGTTATTAAATTATCTTTTTCTTGCTTAGCCAAAACATTTCTTATTATTTGAGTACACTTGGTTCTTCCTAACTGGCAATTTTGGATAATATTTGAATCTGGTGCAATTTGTTTCAAAAGTGGTACCAAATGGTCTATAACTTGAAGATCAACATTGTGCTCTGCAAAAAAGGCTTAATTTAATTTCAAAATTTGTTACACTATTGTCTATATCGGGAGTTTTTCGCTTTTCAAAAAACGACTGCATTGGCTTTGTGTTTTTTACTTTTAAAACATTTTTCTTATGCTGTTTTGTTTCCGCATGTTTAATAAAATCGGATTTTCCACAATATAAATATTTACCACAAGCTGTACATTTACATTTATAACCGTCATCTTTGACCTCTTCCAACCACCCATTGAATCGTTCATCTTTTAACCAAATTTGACAAAAACGCTGTTTTCTGTATTTACTTTTAAGGGTGAGAGCATCATCAGAAGATGAATCAGAAGACGACATATTTCTGAAATATTTCATAAATATAAGTTAACATAAAGAAACTGCATCACAACCTATTACAATTTTCTTATTTTTCCTTTGTGCCTCTTCAACCAGTTTCATCAGATCCGACGTTGGTGGTAGTGTCGGAGAATCGAAGGGCAGGTAAACGGAAGACGACATATTTCTGAAATATTTCATAAATATAAGTTAACATAAAGAAACTCAATATTTACAATTACACTTATGGCAATGTAGGAAAATAACGTACGTGTTCGTTTGTAGCAATATTGAATGTAAGAAGTTTGTCAATACAATTCTTCTAAAATAGATGTAAGATTTTGAATTTGTATTCTTCACAATTTGAAACCAATTAAAAAACTTACCTAGAAAACAACAACAAAATACGAATGCTGAATATAAACAATGTTTGATGTTTCTTGGCCGAATGTAAACACATTGATTCACAAAATAGCAGAATATAGAATAGGACACAGATAACCAGATAAGAAACCATTGACAGCTGTCAAAAAAGTAAATTCGAGCCGTATGGTTTTGTTCATATTTTTTTACCATTTTTTGAATTCCGCCATTAGGTAAAATATTAGAGCAAAAGAAAAAATAAAAATGTATTAAAAATCGATTAGTGTGTGAGATGAGCTGTATGATTGTTTTCATCGCTCGTTTGAAAAAAAAACAGCAAAATATGTAAACATTGAAGAAATTGTATGTGAAGAAGAATTGCAAAAAATGAAGATAAAAAGGAAAACAACCTTATTTTATAAAATATTTGCTTAGATTCTAATTAAAAGTGTATTGGCTTTGTTTTTTAATAATTCCTTAATGTTTTTTTCATTATAAAACACTTTGCAATACACTATTAACACCAGAAACAACTTTTTTGACTTTGCATGTACAGTAAACCCCGTTTATATGTTCTCAACACATATTTTTTGAAGTTCGATATGAAAATGGATAGTTGTATGAAATTTTATTCATGGGACTAAATAGTAATTCTTTTTAACCAAGAATTCTTTATAAAATATGTTTTTGTATCAAAATAGTTATCAAAATTCCGCTAATTAAGATAAGTTCGTAAAAAGCAAGAAATAGTTATAAAGGGGTTTGCCTGTAATGCAATTTGTTTTTTACAATTTGAAAAAAATTAAGTATGAGGTGAAAAGAGATGGAAATATGTCTTTATATATTTGTCCCTCTTTTAAATCTCCCGTGGTTCATTATACATTTTCTTTTGCTAATTTTTCGTAAATTTTTTTTGTTTGCCTCCGCCATATTGCTAAAATCAGCTGATTCCAGTCTATGAGAAGTCTATGAAATAGGCCAACAGAATATAATTTAATTTAACTTCAAAATTTATAAATCAATTATAACTTTTAATTTTTCAAAACTTTTTTTCACTCGTTAATTTAAAATTTGCAAAACAAATAAAAGTACAAATTTCAAGAGAGCACCTGTAAAACTTTGGATTAGTGATGCCATATGTGTGTTATTTCTACAGTATTTCCACCTCAATTACATAAATAATTATGAAAATACACTAAGAAAAACAATGCATAAATTTAAAAAAATTAATGATAAGAAAATACGAAATATTCTTAGAGAATAATTTTATTTTAAACAAATTTTTGTTTCCATAGTATAAAAGGTAAAAAATAAAAAATCCCTACAAATGAGCATAAAATAAAAAATCTGTCGCTTTTTCCCTACAACATAAATTTTTGCAAAAAATCCCTACAGAAAGGAAATTTTTCCTACAATTGGCATCACTGGCTGAAAGAATGATAGAGCTGCGTGGCGTCCGTAAAAATAGCCATATAATGTTAGAAATGGTGGCGGAACCAGAACTCAAAACGAAGATGCATAACATAACCGCACGGTATCGGTAAGTATGTATTCTGGGCAAACATTGGTTGTGGAATCAATCTAGATCCCTAAAATAGTTTGTGTGGTGATAATATTGTTATTATATATATTTTGAATTTCTGCATTGCCGGTCTTTGGCCGCGGCAGACACTTTGAACAACCATTGGAAATGGAATCAATCTAAATCCCTAAAATTGTTTGTGTGGTGACAATATTGTTATTATTTATATTTAGAAATTTTGTATTGCTGGTCTTTGGCCGCCGCAGACACTATGAAATGTTGAGTTGTATTGCGAGGGAACATTTCAGAAGGCGTGCATTCATGGTCTACTTTCAACCAAAAACAAACAAGAGTTCATTCTTTGGGGATAATATGATCTGTACAAAATTTATTAAGTAGTGCTACACGCAAACTGGGCCATCTAAAGATGGCCAAATTAATGATCTTTATCATCTCTGCAGTTGGTTGTATAATCATCTTTTATGCCAATTCCAGCGTAATTGGTAGACGGTCACTGTTTGTACTGTTTCTTAGCAATCGTAATTCAGCAGCAGCTATGGCTTAGGCAGGCACCACATACGGTGGCGATTAATTAACAAGTCCTGAAAAGGCCACAACACTGCCGCAAGACCCACAACGACCACAAAATGAATAAGTACAACAGAAAGCTGATTTTGAAAACACTCTTAGATATAGATCTCAAGACTTTGCATCGACGACAACCCGAAAGAGATGTTGCAAGTCGTTGATTATGAAAACTTTGCACGTTAAGCCACCATCCACCAGAAATGCTTCGGTGCTAATTTTCAACTTAAGCTCAACAGTATTAGGAACGGGAATAGGTACCGCCAGCTCAGCTTTTAATTATTCATGAAACGCCTTTTGAAATTCGCCAACTCGGCAGTCTTGCTGCATTTGCATGTACTTACGGATGAAACAAGTGGACATTCAATGGATCAGATTTTAGAAATTGAAGTGCGTCGTTATAGACGTTCTATTATTTATAGTTTATATGTATAATATGCGTTTGTGTGCCGAGGAAGTAGTGGACATTTCAAATACACAGAAAAAACTAAAAATATGTTTCAATTATCAAAATAATTGTATCAAGCAAGTTTTGCACCTATCACCAAAATGATGATATCAATTATCAAATTTGTAAAAAAAATAAAAGAATACTTTTTTTTCCAAATAACGAATTAATCAGAACAATTAATATCAATAATTGAGACAAAATTTAAAATTGATTAATTCATTAATTGTATAAATTAAATATTTAATAAAAATAAAATCTAATTTTTATTAATTTATTAATCAAATGAATTAGTTTGTTTGGTAGAAAATGTATTAAAAACCAATTAAGTTGATTATTAAAACAATGAAATTATTAACTGATTACTCACAATGTTAAAGGAATGCTTGACCTTTAACAATGCTTTGAGCATTTACAAAAAATATCACTTTATTATTAAATTTGAACATATTAAGTGTTTTATAAAATGTCAGGAAACTTGAATATTATATGCCTAAAATCGTATTGACTATTTAAGAATTATAAACATTGTTAGCATAAGAAATCAAAATAAAATATTTAAAAAAAGTTAAAATAGAAAAGTTGGCCAGAAAATTTTTTTCAATCAATTAAAAAACTAATTGAATCAATTAAATATTTAATCAAATTTGTAAACTTAGGTTTTAAACAACGAGATAATTAAGACAAATAAAAAATTGCTTAAATTAAAACTAAAGAAAGAGAAAAACATGTTAATTGAAAATAAACTACTGATAATTTTTTCTGTGTACAATGACACCGTACTTTAGCTCGGCTATGCTTGCATTGCATAGCCGACAAGAATATGGAACGTGCAATATTGCTAGATTGTGACATAGTTTTCCGTACCGATGTCCGTCTATTGTTCAATGAATTCGATAGATTTTCTCCCGATCATCTATATGGATTGGCGCCAGAATTGACGCCTGTCTATCCCCACATACTCTATAGATATCGGATACCTACTACCACTACTACACACCTTTTAAAAATTTTTTTTCGAAAAACAAATAAAAAAACATTATATGGGACTAAGGGCAAATATGGACCGATCCATAAAGAACTTGTTTGATGAATTTATGTTTGCATACAATTCATTTATACTGAAAAAAGTGTTTATTAGTTAATTGAGGACATTCGGGCGCTAGGGTCAATTCAAGCCATTAAGAAATCTGCACAAACTTAATAACCTTTCCGAATCCGGTAGTGTAGGGTATAAAATAAATCGTATTTTTAAAATCGTTGGGGGTATCATATGGTCGGCCATGCCTGCCTATACGTTTTTACTTATTTTATATTGAAAGCAAAATTAAAAACTATTTTTCTTTTAGAAAAGAAAAACAGAAAATTGGAACAGCTGGTGGTTCACTCTCGGATTGGGATCTCTACAAGGAAGTAGAATCGTTGTTAGCCCCATCTAAAACCTACAACTCCGAAGGACTTGTAGTTGATAGTGTAAATAGTAAGAAAAACACAAAAAATTTAATGTTATTAATGTGTAATAAAATTTATTTTGTTTAAGATATAAATACATCTGAATCCCAAACATCACTAGAAGCAGTGTCACCATTAACAACTACTACTAATTAGTAGTATGTTTATACGGATTGCAAGTTGATTTTTATGGGACGAATATTTTTTTGTGGGATGATATTTTTTTTAAGAATTTGTGTGAGAAAATTTATTTGGTTTGTTTTCAGTGAAGAAGAAAATATTTTTTTGAAATTGTGGGGAAGAAAATATTTTTTGTAAAATTGCAAACTTGCAGAATGGGAAGAAATTATTTTTAGTGAAAAGTGACACCAATATATTTATTTTGTATAATACATACATATGTATGTAGTTATGTTAAAAGTCCATACAAAAAATGTTTAACAGGTAGACAATTATTTGCGATTTTAATTTTTAGCATGGAGACAATGTTTACATATGTAACCTAAATTAAGATTTTCTCAATTTGAAATATTAAGGAGAAATTACTCATTCTGTGTAGATCAATTGGATTAGATATAAATATAAATGATGGAAGTTAAATTATTTTAATTGACTAATAAGACTTTTAAATGTGGAACAAAAATGGAATCTAGTAAAATTACAAATTCTTATATTGTTGCGGCTTTCAATAAATTAAAAGCAAGACCATATCTATCATCAAAAGATTTACTAACATCAAAGCCATATAAGGTATTAAATATTTTCCGCCATAAGAATAAATATGGAAATGTGGTGATGGCAGAGCTTGATGAGGGGATGTTTTATCTTCCCAAACGATATAATAATTTGGAAGATAAAGTAATAGATGAATTTATTTTAACGAGAAAGTTAGAAAATGGTTTATATGTTTTGGAATTGGAAGAGCTAATCAGTGAAAATCCCACTGGAGAAGACGAACTGGGAGAATTTTTCATACCAAATTCTCAATCATTTTTCGGTTGGGAAAATAGAAAAATTTCAAGAAATTCTTAATAAGGATAATTGGTTTATTAGTATCATCGTTTCTTAAAAATAAATTAATTCTAAAAATAAAGCTTTATAATAAACATGTCCATCTAAATATGGATTACACTTCAAAATTTGTTCATGGTAGAATGATAACACAAACGTTGGTCCTGACACTTGCAGTTGTAGAAAACATATTATAAGAAGATATTATTTATTATCTAAACGTCTAAAATAAGTTAATGTAGAAAATATTTTTAATATCAAATAAGTTAATTTTAAAGCAAAAATATATTAAAAAATTATAAATAATGCAACATAAACAATTTTTTGTTTTTTGTTAATAATAATTTCCTGCAATTTTAAATTTGGATAGGATCTTGTTTGAATTTAAGAAAATTATACTTCAAACAAGGACCAAATTGATATTCCAGAAATCTTAATACTGCCACCTATAGACATTCCACTATTCCTTGCATTGCATGACGGCCAGGATAAAATTTTATTTGTGGAAAAAGAACTTGAAATAAAAACAAAATAATATATATTTTTCTTTCTTTTTATTTTCTATAAAACAAATAAAAATATTTATATAAATTTAAAACTAACATATCATTTTCATTTAAATTAAAATAATTAAAAATATTTATAATTTTATTAAAAGTTAAATTTTTACATCTTAAATAAATAAAAATACAACAATAAACACCACAAAACATTGAAGTTTCACTTTGAATTCGCATATTATTGTAGACAAATGTTTTAGAATTTCGATTTAAAAGTGAAATAAATGGTTTAATTGGAGGTTGGCCTGCAGAACAAAAAAATTCTGCTGGTTTATTTTCAGGAAAGTAAAAAGCGACCCAATGCTGTCCAGGTTTATAAGATGGATCAGTGTTGGCTATGTAAAATGAAGGTTTTTTGGTGTTTTGGGTAATTTATTACTGGGGAAAACTCCTTTAAATTTATATTTTGTACAATTATTTGAATTTAATGTATTTATAATATTTATTGAGTTCATAGCGTTTGAATTATAGAGCGAGACTTATCAATTTCCAGTATACTATCAAATTCGCAATATACTAAACAGGTAATTGCCTCCGTAATCGGTTTTCCAAAACGTCTTTCTATTCCTTGATTTATTAATATTTCCACAATTAGAGTTATTATTATGATCTGGTGTTAAATCGAAAGATAGTAAAAATATCCGTTATCAAATAGTTCTTTTGTTATTTGATGACCTTTATCGAAATGATGAATTCTAGTTCCTTTAAATAGTGTTCGATAACCTCGAGTGCTTATTATTCCACCATTATTATAATTAAATTTAATAAGCTGTGCTGGAAATTGTACTCCATTAACAACCTAATTAAATCTTTGTAAATTAAAATGTTGAAAGTTATATGGATTTTCTTTTCTATCTCCAGTATATGCTTTGTTAGATACCATTCCAAAATTGAATTGGAGGAGATTCAAATAAATCCAATTCACTTTTCATACATTCTATAAATCCAGACATTTTAAGTTTCCAAAAATATCTTTTAACTTCTTTCCTCTACAACGTTTGAATTTATTATGTGGGTTTTGTTTTAAACGTTTAAGTTTTATAGGATTTCCTTTGCCTTTCTGCATTGTTTTTATTTTTTCAATATTAGCATCTTTAATATTATTTATCACTTTTCTCCCTTGATTAAATATAATATCTATCACTGGTGTTGTTCCGATTTCCTCCAAAATTTCTTTTCCAATATCTAATGACTTATTTTTTAAATAATTTAATCCTGTCCTCAAGAATGGTTTCAGGTGTGAGAAGAGATATGAAAACATTGATCCAATACCATGCCCATATTGTACAATTCTTGGTGTATGATATATTTCACCAATATTTTGTATATAATTTCCAGATTGATTAATGTAGTAATTTGTATACAACACATCCATGGTTATATTAAAAATGTTTTATCTGTTAAGTATATAGTCATTATATAAATTTTTTGAAGTGTAAAGTACAATAGACTGCAATATATTTCTCTAAAGCAATATCTTTTCCTTCATCATTTCGAATCATTATGGATATATCATTAATATTGAAAGTTTCAATAGGATAATAATCTATTCTATTAAAATGAATATAATTTTTTAATGATGATGTTGAAAATATTTTCAAACATTTAGTTTTTTTGCTCCCCACATGCCGAGGTTTAATAATATCTGTATAAATAAATACAATTTCGTTTACATCAGTTGAATCAACTTTATTAAAATAATGCGAAATGTTACTGGAAAATTTGTTTAAAGAGTTTTCCAAAATATTATGCGTGGACGATAAAATAGAATCGTTCCTATCATTCTCTAATTCTTGATATAAATCTTTTTTATCACTTCCTGATTCTTTGGTGATGGTTGGTTGGTTTACGTGGTAGTTCACTACACGCGAACTGTCAAGTAGAATCGAAGAGACTCCGTTTTGACCGGACCTCTCCACTCGTCAGATGTTGTATTTGTAGTATTAGATCCAGCCCGTAGCTGTGAGAAATCTGAGGATATCATTAAGCCTAAACTCAGATATCTCGCCAAGGTTAGATATGAAGTAATTGCCAAGGAAGTGGTTTCTCTTTACGGCCAGAGCAGGGCATTCACATTCTTTGCAACTGCGACAGTGATCATTGAAAGGGAGCCCAAGCCGACTTGCGTGTCTGCCTATTACCCAGTGTCCTGTTATTACTGCTATCAGCCTCGATATGTCCCGCCTACTTCGGTTTATAAGGTGTCTTGTACGTTTCTCATTGAAGGAAGGCCACAATAACTTGGCCCCTTTACATGTGTCTAGGTTATTCCACCTATTTTCAGCTTTTTGAAGAAAGAATCTGAGGATATTGCTCTTGATGTGACTTAACGGAGTTGCTACTGAAACGGCGTCGGAAATATCAAGAGCAGATCCCGTTCTTGCAAGCTCATCTGCCTGTTCATTACCGTAGTAGTCCCTATGCGCAGGGACCCAAACAAGGGTAATGTCAGACAGCCGACCCAGCATTGACAGATCCTTCTTGCATTGTCTAACTAATAAGGAAGTAGTAGTATAAGAGTTTAGTGAGAGAAGTGCCGCTTGACTATCGACAAAGATTCCTATGTTGCCGCGAATATTGAGGTCATGTAATAACCTACAGGCTGACATAATCGCAAATATTTCAGCCTGAAAGACACTACAGTTGTTGAGAAGACGGTGGGATATACTTACCCCAGCTTCTGCACAGAAGACACCAGAACCAACGCCGCAGTTCATTTTAGAATCATCTGTAAAGATTCTGGTGGTATATTCGCTCGGTAGATTACCTCTACACCACTCGCTCCTGGAAGGAACTCTGACTTTGAAGACTCTGTCAAAGTCCGTGTGTGGGGTAATATAGTTGGATGGTTGGTTCAAGATTGGAGGTAACAAGCTTAAAATCTTAGCGTGTCCATATGTTCTTGATCTCCAAGTTCCGGATGAGTTAAGCCTTACTGCGCTGCAAGCAGATATGGCCATTATGTGCAGATCTATGGGTAGGATGTGCAATATAAATAGTGTTCAGAGCTTCTGAAGGACTAGTTCTAATAGAACCTGTTATCCCAATGCATGCTGATCTCTGAACTTTGTATAGTTGATCCACAACAAACTTCTTCTTAGTTGAAGTCCACCATACAAGAGATCCGTATGTAAGAATAGGACGTACTATAGCCGTGTACATCCATTTAACTTTGTTGGGACTAAGTCCCCATTTCATTCCAGGTATAGTAGGCGACCGTTGCCTTCTTGACTCTGTGCTGGATGTTGAGTTTTCATGATAATTTGAGTCTAGAATAGTTCCTAGATATTTGGCATTGTTTGATAAGGGGATTTCGCGGTTTTGTTTGGATTTACTCCTAGACCACTGTCTGTGGCCCAGTTACTGAGTAGCACCAGAGCACCAGACATAATATCGCTAATCACGTCTGAGAACATTCCTGATACCAGTATCACAACGTCGTCCGCATAAGCAACGACCTTTATCCCTCTGTTGTCCAGTTCCATAAGAATCGAATTAACAACGATAAGCCAAAGTAGTGAAGAGATTACACCGCCCTGAGGTGTGCCTCGTTCCACTTGTTTGGACTTAACGCTAGTACCAAGA